GTAAGAAAGAAGGAGAATGGGTGGCCATCCAGGTGTGATGGGAGTTCTTCACTGGTGGAGGGGAGAGAGAATATTCTGGAGACAGCCTAGCAGATGGTCACTGGGAGGCAGATATCCATACTTGGCATAACAATCTTTTGATGAGACAAGAATTCTCTGTGTGATCTTTTTTTTTTTTTTTTTTTTTTTTTTCTTTTTCCAGACAGAGTCTTACTCTGTACCCTAGGCTAGAGTGCAGTGGCACAGTCTCGGCTCACTGCAACCTCTGCTTCTTGGTTCAAGCAATTCTCCTTTCTCAGCCTCCCAAGTAGCTGGGACTACAGGTGTGTGCCACCATGCCCGGCTAATTTTTGTATTTTTAGTAGAGACGGGGTTTCACCATATTGGTCAGGCTGGTCTTGAACTCCTGACCTCACCCACCTCAGGCTCCCAAAGTGCTGGGATTATAGCCACTGTGCTCAGCCCTCTATGTGCATTATTATGTCAGACACATAAGCTAGTCTGAGGAGTTTAGAAATCTATACAAATCTAAAATTTCCCAACTCACCTAAAGGGCATAGTTCTGTCAGGGAGCAATTTATTTTTTTGAGACACAGTGTTGCTCTTGTTGCCCAGGCTGCAGTGCAGTGGCGTGATCTCGGCTCACTGCAACCTCCACCTCCCAAGTTCAAGTGATTCTCCTGCCTCAGCCTCCTGAGTAGCTGGGATTACAGACTTCTGCCGCCATGCCTGGCTGATTTTTGTATTTTTAGTAGAGATGAGTTTCACCATGTTGGCCAGGCGGGTCTCAAACTCCTGACCTCAGGTGATCCAGCCACCTTGGCCTCCAAAAGTGCTGGGATTACAGGCGTGAGCCACTGCGCCTGGCCTCAGGGAGCACTTTCTGATTGGCAGCCCTGGTTTGCTAAATTATAGACAGTTGACCTTTTATCTCAAACCATGCAATTGTGCTTTCATTGAATTTCCTTCTCCCCACCAGTAAATGCCATTGCAAGTTCTAGTACAAAATGATACTTTCTCTTGTGTTATAAAGGTAGCATCAAATAATTTGCTATTTATTTTACATGAAGTAAAAATAATCTATGTTAAAATTACTATTTATTGAGAGCATTATGCTATTTACTGTATTTAAAATAATTATTAATTTAAAAAGTTTAAAATTATTGCATTACTAGAAAAATTCAGATAATATGGAAGTATTTAGAGCTTAGAAAATGAAATTATCTCCCTGTGCCTGCCACAATTTTCACTGTACAGATTTACAGTATTAAAGGTTGACCATGATAGTTCACAGTGATGTTTTGGAACAACTTGTTGAAACTGATTGAAACTGCTTTCAACTTTCCCAAGCTTCCTACTTTCTTTTTTATTTTGTTTTACTTTTATATTTTGAGACAGGGTCTCACTGTCACCCAGGCTGGAGTGCAGTGGTGTGATCACGGCTCACGGAAGCCCCGACCTCCCGTGCTCAAGTAGTCCTCTCACCTCAGCCTCCCAAGTAGCTGGGACCACAGGCACGTGCTACCATGCCCAGATAATTTTGGTATTTTTTGTAGAGGCAGGGTTTCGCCATGTTGTCCAGGCTGGTCTTGAACTCCTGGGCTCAAGCGATCCACCAGCCTCAACCTCCCTAAGTGCTGAAATTACAGGTGTGAGCCACTGGGGCCAGTTTCCTACTTCATAGTTTGACTTGATCCATAGCATCTTAAGGTGGCCAATTATCAGACTCCTATTAGATAGAACTGCAGAGTTCTGCCTGGGTGGGAAAAGCTCAAGCCCTTTGGGGAAAATTAAGACCCCAACTTTGAACCATTTGTTCACATTACAGAGTCATGGAGGCAGCCTGTGGCATTGGAAGGCCACCCTAGGGAAGCAGACTGGCTTTGGTTGCAATGGAACTTGAACTCTCGCACTCTTTAATAGTGTGACCTCAGGCAACTTAACCCCTCTGATCTTCCATTTTCTTATTTGTAAAGTGGGGATATTCAAATCCTCAGAGGATGGTTGTGAAGTGTAATTATACAAGGAAACACTGCTATGCCCTGTTGGAGAAATTCCGTCAAATGGGAGAGACAGAGGGCATCTAAACATCGTGATGCAAGCGAGGTTAGTGGCACCAGGAGACTGCACAGCACGCAGTTGTGTAATGGGGCAGAGAGCCTGGGAAGTGATTTCCCTGCAGAATCCTGGCAAAGGAATGGTAGTTTGCTGGTCCTGGAAAGGGTGAAAGTATAAGGGCAGAGGTTCAGCACGTGGAGCAAGCGATGTGTGTGGGGAGCACGACCAGATCCTGAGATGGTGGAACCTACTGGCTAACTTGGCTCTGGTGCAGGAATCCCATGATGACCAGACCTGAGCCGCTCCTCCTCCCAGCCTCCTCCCCTTGGCACGACCCAGGTCCTCTGCCCAGGGGGCCTTTCTCCTTTTGCTCTCCTGGCTATCTCACACCATCCTTTAGGCCTCAGCTGAAGTGCCATTTTCTCGGTAAATCCCCTCCACCTCCACTTAGTCCCTCCATTCTTTAAAATTTTGTTTTAAATTGTAAAAAACACACAACCTAAAATGTACCATCTGTACCATTTCTAGGTGTACAGTTGAGTGGCATGAAGGATGTTCACATTGTCCTGCAGTTGATCTCCTAAACTCTTTTCATCTTGCACAACTGAAACTGTGTACCCATTCAGCTGCTCCCCACCCCCTCTCCCTCCCATATTTGGCAACCACCATTCCACTTTCTGCCTCTGAATTTTTTTTTTTTTTTTTTTTTTTTGATATGGTGTCTCTCACCCAAGCTGAAGTGCAGTAGTACAATCTCAGCCCACTGCAATTTCTGCCTCCCAGGCTCAAGTGATCCTCCTACCTCAGCCTCCTGAGTACCTGGGACCACAGCCGAGCTACCACACCTAGATAATTTTTTGTTTTTGGTAGAGATGAGGTTTTGCCATGTTGGCCAGGCTGGTCTCAAACTCCTGACGTCAGGTGATCTGCCTGCCTTGGCCTCCCAAAGTGCTGGGATTGCAGGCATGAGCCACCACCACGCCTGGCCTTTGCCCCTGAATGTGACTGCTCTTGGTACTTCATACAAGTGGAATTGTATGATGTCTGTCTTTTTGTGATTGGCTTATTTCATTTAGCCTGTGTCCTCCAGGTTTATCCCTGTTGCATGTCCTTCCATACCTATAACACGGTATCCTTTCCTTTCCTGTCATTTCCACTTTATAATTAGGAAGTGGCCTCAAGAGCTGTGTCCTCCACTGTGTCCTGCTTCCAGGTCAGCCCATAGCACACAGTAGGAGCTCCATGAAGAGTGACTGAACCGAATCTCCAGTTCCAACCCCAGCCTTTCTTTCCAACCTCATCTCCACCCATCCCCTCTGTACTAGCTTCTTATGGCTGTGGTAATAAATTACTACAAACTTGATATTTAGAACAGCAGCAATTTATTCTCTTACAACTTGGGATGCTGGAAGTCCAAAATCCAGGTGGCAGCAGAGCTGGCTTCCCTGCAGAGGCCCTGGGGGAGAATCCCGCCTTGCTGCTTCCAGCCACAGGTGCTCTCTGGCTCGGGCTGCATCCCTCCCCCTCTTCTGTCTTTGTCTTCGAATGTTCTCTCTGTGTGTCTCCTCTCTTTCTCTCATATGGCCACTTGCCATCAGATTTAGTGGTTAGTCCAATCATCCAGGATCATCTTATCTCAAGATCCTTAATTCTATCTCCAAAGACCCTTTTGTCAAATATAGTCACATTCACAGATTCTGTGGATCAGGACATGGACTTATCTTTATGGCAGCTACAATTCCACCCCACTACACCCTCCGAGAACCCTGTCCCCCAGCTGATCTGCCTGGTCATGCTCTCTGGACCGTAGGGCACACTTTTCACCGGGCTCTGTGGATGTTGTTGCCCCTCCACTCCCCTGGAGGTCCTGCTTTTTTCCCTTGAACACTGAGATCCTCTGCTGTCCGCTTCCCTCTCTGTGGGTGACTGCTCCAGGGGAAAGGAACACCCTTCCTCTTGGAAAGCTGCCTGCTGCTGTGTGGGTCCACTTCATTCACCCCTTCTAGAGGCCCTGTGGGGCCTCTTGTCTGCACCTCCACATGGTCCTGGAGGCGGAGCTTGTGTTCCTGCTTCCCTGTGTTCCCTATGGTGCCAGTGACATGAGTATAGAGACTCTGAGAATACGTGTGAGGGATAATATGGATCCGGAAAGTGGGTTCAGACACATACTAATATTATCAAAGTCAAGGCAAATAGTAAGCCTGCAGTCATAGCCACCCTCAGTTCTAAGAATACGTATGTGTGGATATAGGCAGGGAATTTAAATTTGTTTTTTGTTATTGGCAGGGAGCAGGTGTTAAATCTAATGAGCTTACGTAGCAAGTGAGTTTAAAGAACAATTGACAACCCAGAGACATGCAGGGCCTGGAATCAAATAACAGGCTGGCTGTACTGCTCGGAAGGTCAGAGTCAAGGTCCTGACTTCCCCCGCTGAGGTCCACAGCATCTCTTAGGTGACCTCTGAGTAATTTAAATGTCACAGGAAGGGCCTGGTCCCAGAAGATTTGACATTCCAGTAGAAGCGTCAGGGCTGCTTCTGGTGGTGGGTCTCTCTGGGCATCTTTTCCAGCCCTCTCCATCTCCCGTTGCCCGCCAGCATCCCCCCTGCTCATGGCTCCTGCTCCCCAGCATCTCCAGCTTCCTTCAGTTCACTTGGGCTCCAGCCCCAGCCTGACTGGCTGGCCAGCCTTGCAGTTTGAAGATCTGTCATCATCCAGCTGCCTTGGACTCGCCAGGATCCAGACTCCTCACCCCTGGTGTGGACTGATGTTCACGTTGGTCCTGCCAGCAGGAGAGGGCAGCGTGGGAGGAGCAGAGGCTCACATGTCAGGGATTATGGAGTGGTGGGCTCTGTCAGGGGACTCGCGTGGGAGGCCATGAGTGGTGTATCCACTCCAGTTTGGAGGTTCCAAATCACCCAGTGTGGATATCTTATTTTTCAGATTGATCGTGTCCTGTGCTGAAAATGTTTCCGGAACAACAGAAAGAGGTATGTCATCACAAATCCAAAAATAAATAGCCCATATGTTTTGACTCACACGGGTTAGTTCTTCATTCACGAACCATAAACCCATGGATTACTAGAGGACGGCTCATGAAAGAACAAATGCCCACCCTCCTGCACCTGCCCCCACTCCCACCATTGGTGCCTCCATGGCCTTCATTTTGGGTTCCAGTGACTCAGCTGTGGAGCACTCTCCCACCCACGGCTGGTGACTCAGCATTCTCCCAGGCTTTGCCTCCTACCCCTTCCTGGAGCAGTCTCCCTGCGGTCTACCTTCCTGCTTTTCTTTTTTCCTTTTCTTTTCTCTTTTTTTTTGAGACAGAGTCTCACTCTGTCACCCAGGCTGGAGTGCAGTGGTGTGGCCTCGGCCCACTGCAACCTCCGCCTTCCAGGTTTAAGCAATTCTCCCACTTCAGCCTCCTGCGTAGCTGAGACTATAGGCACTTGCCACCATACCCAGCTAATTTTTTTGTTTTTTTAGTAGAGATGGGGTTTCACCATGTTGGCCAGGCTGGTCTCGAATTCCTGACCTCATGATCCACCTGCCTCGGCCTCCCAAAGTGCTGGGATTATAGGCGTGAGCCACCATGCCTGGCATCCCTGAATTCTCTCTCCTTCGGGTAGCAGCCTAGGGGAATTTCTGCCATTAGTTTCAGGTTTGCCCCCTTTGTCACCTGGGCTTGGTTTCATACAACATAGGCAAGGTTTGCCTTTCCGCCTGCAGCCTGGCTTCCCAAGTCTCCATGCCAGCCTCCTGAGCCCCTCTCTGACTGGCAGGAGGGTAGGAGAGCCCTCATGCCAGCCTTGACTGAGTGTCCCTCCTTTGGCAGTACCCATTGGCCTGCCTGCTGCGGTGCAGTGCACTTCATCACTTGGTGAGGCTGATGAAGTGAGGAAGCAGCATAGGGGCCTGTCTAGGGAGCGTGCGTGTGCGCGCGCACACACATACACACACACACACACACACGTGTACATGAGTCACACATTCACACAGTCACACGGTCCCAGCTCACCCTGCCCAAATTTAAAGCACTAAACAATTTATTTCAGAGAATCTTTCCAGAAAGTCCTTTGCTAGCTCTCACACCCTTAATTTCAGCCACATCTTTGGCTTCAGGTTCTCCTCAGCAGTCCAGACTACACTTAGTCCTAGGCTGGGCTCCCCCATTTTCAAAGGCAGTGTTTTGGTTTGTTTTTTAGCTTTTAAAAATTAGACTAGATGGGCATGGTTGTGTGTGTGCCTGTGGTCCCAGGTACTCAGGAGGCTGAGGTGGGAGGATCGCTTGAGCCCAGGAGTCAGTGGTTCTAGTGAGCTAAGATCACGCCACTGCACATCAGCCTGGGTGACAGAGCAAGACCCTATCTCAAACCAAAAACAAAAAACCAGAAAAATTGACTGGGCACTACGGCTCATGCCTGTAATCCCAGCACTTTGAGAGGCCGACATGGTTGGATTACTTGAGGCTAGGAGTTCGAGACCAGCCTGGCCAACATGGGAAAATCCCATCTCTACTAAAAATACCAAAATTAGCCAGGTGTAGTAGCACACATCCGTAGTTCCAGCTACTTGGGTGGCTGAGACACAAGAATCTCTTGGACCTGGGAGGTGGAGGTTGCAGCGAGCTGAGATCACGCTGCTGCACTCCAGCCTGGGTGTCAGAGTGAGAATCTGTCTCAGAAGAAAACCCACAAAAACAAAAAAACTGGGCTATAATATGTACAGTAAAATGCATAAGGTATCCTAATCTTATGTACGTAGCTCAATGGATTTGTTTGTTTGTTTGTTTTAATAGAGACAGGGTCTCTCTTTTTTGCCTAGACTGGTCTCGAACTTCTGGCTTCAAGTGATCCTCCTGCCTCAGCCTCCCAAATAACTGGGATTACATGCATGAGCCACTGAGCATGGCCTAAATGGATTTTTATACACCTGTGTAACTACCACTGAGATCAAAGTATAGATGTTTCCAGCTCCCCAGAAGGTACCTTGTGCCCCTTTCCAGTCAGTCCCCCTCACTTTCACCCCCAGAGGTGACCTTACGCAATACCTAGACCATGCATGCTTTTTTCATCTTGTACTAAGTAATACTGAGACCAAGCTGCTTGCTCCGGGAAATACCCGCCCATGAACTTAATGAAACTGCAAGGCTAAGGGCATAGTTCCCATAGGACTGCCCTTGCCTCCAACACCAATTGCAAGTTTGGGGCTTTCCCGAACCACTTTCAAGTTTAATAATTCACAAGAAAAACAGAACTCAGAGCTGTTATCCTCACAGATACTACTTATTATAGAAAAAGAATGCAAATGAGAACCAGGCAAAGCAAGAGCTGGACCCATGGGCAGTCAGGTGGGGTCCAAGGGCGGAGCTTCTGGTCATCCTCCCGAAGGAGTCGTGATGGAGTTACCCTCTCAGCACCCATGTGTGACAGTGTGCAGTCACTTGGTATAGCTAGAATGATCGCCTGGCTTCAAATCCATTGCCCTTAGAACAAAGTCAGAACACCTGCACATGGTCTCTAGCACTCTGCAAGATCCAAACCTGCTTCTTTCTCCAAACTTCTCTCTTGCCCCCCACCTGCCACTGTGGTGCACTTCTTGTTCCTCATTTCAGAGCTTATTTTAGAGCCTTGAATGTTCCATGCATTCTCACCCCCATGGGCTTTTACACATGTTTTTTCCACTGCCTGGAGTAATCCCTTCCCCTAGCCTTCACGCTGTATTGACTGGCTAACTTCTCCTTATCCTAGAAGTCAAGAAGCAGCTTTCTAAACCTTTAACTATAAAAGATATATTTATCTAGTCACCTCCCCAGCAGCAGCCTGTCGTCAATGCCAGTTAGAAATAGAGAAGGTTTAGGTCAAGCCTTTTAATATCTTAGTGTCTGGTTGTTTAGGGAAAGTAATTCAGGTTCCACCTAATGGAATATGTAAGCACCAAATGCAGTAGGACTGATTGTTTTGGAATCTAGACTGAGGGTACACTGAGTATTTAGCACTTTCCTCTCAGCACCCACAGCAGACATTACTAATTAATCATGAGGTTGGCACGTGAATTGAGATTTATTTACCATCCTTGTACAAGATTCATATAGCCTGGAAGTGACATCTTGGTTCTATCTAATTGGTAGTATTAACTTTAACATTTAGTAATTTTTTTTTAACATTTTGGGGGTGAGGAATCAAATGTAGTCGCTCTTGTTAAAATAGCTTTATGACTGTAATAAATCTAGAAAGAGGAGAAAAGGGAGTGAGAATCTCCCTTGTTAGTTAAACATGTTCCATTTGCACATTGGTTTGAATTCCCAGGAGAGCAGTATCCTAGCTGATGGATCTTCTCCATAAAAAGGCCTTGGCATTGGGCCATTGTGAAATTAAAATGAATTCAGATTCATTCATGCGTGCAACTTTAATTTACAATTAAAATATTATGGTTGCATATTTTAATAAGAATAATTAGATGGACCCAACTGAATCAACTCTTCTGTTTAATGAGACAGAACCCAGACTCCAAATGGAAAGGCAGGTGGCTGTGACAGGAAGCACTTTTCAGACAGTGTCTTTTGTGGAGCTAGGCAGTTTTGTTCTTTTAATATTTGAATGTCCAGACTGAGCTGTTTGATTTTTCTGCCCTGCTCAGGATGGTTGCCTCAACTTCCCGGAACTTATCTTGTGGGGCGTGTGAGTGAGCATTTGCTCCGACTGGACACAGTCCATTTCATGGAGTTGGACATTCTCTCTCCCGGGCGCCTGTTATGCTGCTGCTCCCTCCATAAGGGCACGGTGCTCTTTCCTTGGCCCAGGGCTCACTTAGTATAACTAAACTGTTCCTCCCCATGTGATGTGACCTGAAGTGCAGGCTGAAACCTTTTTTGGACGTATGTGCGCATGCGTGCATGTCTCCCCTGCTCTCCTGGATCATGATGGCTGCATTCTCCTTTTAGAGATTTATCCCTTTAGGACAAGTGCTTTTCCCCTTCCAAAATGCACATACTTCATAGTAGGTAGTAGGTATAACAGCAGCTTCTAGGCACTACCGGTTGTTGACACCTTAGCGAAGATACATCTGTCAGTTCTTTGGCAGGGAATATCCTGAGTAGGGCAGGCTGGAGTGGGCCCCAGAGAGTTGCACAAACCATGAGGACACCACCACTGAGGGAGGAGATGGGGTGCTATGGGGAGAGCAGGCAGGGAGGGATATGTTGCCATTTTGGATGAGCAGCCCCTAGGGTTAATATTAATATGTTCAGGATATGGGTATGCTGACCTATGGTAATATTTTAGACTTGCTCTATCTAGGAAAGCATGCTTTTGATATTGGGAAACGGACTGGAAACTGACTGGGCTGGAACTGATGAATATCATTAACAAATAAATAATAATATCTAGGATCCTGCGATGCTGGGTACTTTGATGGGAAGCAACAAGACAAATATTTTCCTACTCCCCAAAACCTAAATTTGTTGTTCCCCTCTCCCTCCTTTCTTCTTCCTCCCTTTTTCATCTCCCAGCCTCTCTACATCTTTTCTCAGTCTCTGTTATACTCAGTTATTAAGTGTTCCTATTTGAAAAAATAGTTAAGTTTCCATAAGAGGCAATTTACAGTCTTCTGTAAGCAAAGAAAAGTAGCTGGGAATATCGTCTTCACACATACACACTAGATTTCAGAGAATGCTGTTGTCATTCTGAGCACTACATTTGTGTTACAGTTACTGTGAAGACTCTGATATTTTTTTCTGAGCCTGTCCCAGAGAAAGATCTTCCTTCTTTTTTTGTTTTTTAACCCTTCTTCCAGATTTTGAAATAATGGTTCACTGCAGAACATTTTGGAAGAGTATACAGGAAAAATAAAACTTGGGGATATTTCTTTCTAGTCTTTTTCTATATATATGTATATGTCATTTTTAGAAAACTGAGATCATATAGAATTTATAGTTTAATATCTCATTCTTCCAGCTTAGTGTTCTAACACATTTCAAGAAACACTTCAC